TATGCCGGCATTATGAATATTGAATCATCCAATTTTGAAATAGACATAGTCAGCAAGTGTTGCTTAATGCCAACCAGAATTACAACTCGGAATTTGGGCAAAACATTTAAGAAGTAACACCCGATTTTCGTTCATATATATATCGAATTATATTATATAGTTTCTGATCGAAAATATGACTTTGCGAAAATATTAAAATACATCGCTATTACATACAAGTCAATACATTTTCATGTCACTTATTAAAGTGCAATACAGTACATATCATTTACTAAAAACTCAATTTAATGATCTTATAAAAATAATAAAAGTCCTCGAAAAATCTGATATTTATAAAAATAAAAACATCAATTAAATAAATTAAAAATTTTCGACTAAATAACGATAATGTTTATTTTTGAGTTATCCAATTAAAAGAATTTGTCCGATCCAGCAATCAAAGTTCCTTTGGTAAAAGAAATATGTAAAATAATTATAAACTCGATGCACCAAGACATTTTCAACTTTCAGTTCCTCTTTGTCCCGAAGACAGATTTAAATAACATTGACACAATTCCCAATGTGAAAGTTGTAACCAAAGTTGTAATCAAATAAACTAAGCCATCTTCAACCTTTTCACATTTATTGGTTTGTCGCAAGAGCTTTTTACTGTTCCTTGTTAAAACGACATCTTGGGAGGTTGAAACCACGGTTTGCTCTTCGTTACCCTTGCCGGTTAATTTTGATTTTGGTGTAATAACAAGTTCTTGTGTTATCTCCCGTGTTGATTCACCAGATGATGATACCTTGTTATTTCGTGAATTCTTGGATACATTTGAGATTGTTTGTGGCGCTTTTAGGATTTCTTCTGTTTTTTGATCTTCGATAGTTGCAGAAACACCTGAGGGGAAATTTATGTTAGCTGTTACACTACTTTCAGGTGCCCTGGACGGTAGAGTGTCGATTACAGGATGTCCACTTTCACGCTCAACGACATTTTCATCGGGGATCTCTCCTATAGGTTCAATATCGGCAGTCTTAAATTGGTCTTCAACCAACTCTTTATCGGGTTCAGTATAAGGAACATCAATAGCGGATGATAATCCAGTAGCACTTTCTTCTGTCTTTTTAATGTCGGTAGCTTTAACTTGTTCTTTGATTAATTCTTGTTCTAGGTGGGAGGACCCAGGATAAGGCACATCAATGGCAGATGTATCAGTATTCTCAATATTCTCCCTTGTTAAATCTTGTTCGTGCTGTAAGGACTCCATATTCTCCTTTGTTAAATCTTGTTCGTGCTGTAAGGACTCAACATTTTCCTTTGTTAAATCTTGTTCGTGCTGTAAGGACTCCATATTTTCCCTTGTTAAATCTTGTTCATACTGTAAGGACTCAATATTCTCCATATTCTCCCTTGTTAAATCTTGTTCGTGCTGTAAGGACTCAATATTCTCCCTTGTTAACTCTTGTTCGTGCTGTAAGGACTCCATATTCTCCTTTGTTAAATCTTGTTCGTGCTGTAAGGACTCACTATTCTCACTTGTTAAATCTTGTTCGTGCTGTAAGGACTCCATATTCTCCTTTGTTAAATCTTGTTCGTGCTGTAAGAACTCAATATTCTCCCTTGTTAACTCTTGTTCGTGCTGTAAGGACTCCATATTCTCCCTTGTTAACTCTTGTTCGTGCTGTAAGGACTCACTATTCTCCCTTGTTAAATCTTGTTCGTGCTGTAAGGACTCCATATTCTCCCTTGTTAAATCTTGTTCGTACTGTAAGGACTCCATATGTGAAACGTTAACTGCATTGATTTCTTCACTGGTTTCTTTAACAGCACTTTCATCGATTATTTCAGTATCAGTAGCCTTAGTTTGTTCCGTTAACTTTTGATCATGTTGAGACGACTCTACATAAGGAATGCCAACGGTTGGTTCAACATTATCCTCTACCGACACTTGCTCATGCTGGAATAATTCAATATTAAAATCATGTTTGGATGTTGAGTTAACTTCACCGACACTCTCAAGTACTTGTTCATGTTGTAGAAGCTCGGGATGGAGAATATCACTAACGGATATTGGTTCAAGATCTTTGCTGATTTTTCCAATGGTTTCCTTTAGGTTAATTTCATTTGTTGTTTCAATATTAGTAATCTTAACATGTTTGTCGGCTAACTCTTGCTTATCTTGAAGAGTTGTTTCAACTGCCTTAACAGCTTCGTCAGTGGTTTCTTTGGCATTACTTTCTTTTATCGTTTCGGCGTCAGAAGTTTCGATCTGTTCTTCATGTTGGAAGGATTTTGTTTGAGGAATTTCATGTGAGGCAGTAGTCTCATCGATGGTTTCTTTGAAATTTTTCTCGTACTCATTTTCAATCTTTTCTTCAGATGCTTTTTCATCATTTTCGCTATCCATCAAATTGACTGAAGTTTCGGCATGATCTTTTATTAAATCAGAGGTAAAGGTGCCATGTTCATGAGCTTTAGCTAATTCTGTCGTTAAAGAATCTTCATGAGATTCATTTTGAGATTTATCAATAGTGTCATGATCCTCTTTATAAATGGAATCATCAAGGACTATAGTAGAAAACGAATCATTGACAACTATTTCGTTGGACTTGTCTTTAATCATGATTTTTTCGCTCGCTAATTCCTTCACTTGTATGTCTTTACTTGCACCTTGAACAATTTCTCTACCTTGGTTTGCAATTACAGGTGCATTATTCTTTTGGATAACTTCAAAATTTACGATCTCTTCAGAAGTTGGTTGAATTTCAAGGTCATCCTGGGTAATTTCTTCCGCTCCAAACTCTTCAGTGTCATCCTGGGTAATTTCTTCCGCTCCAAACTCTTCAGTGTCATCCATTTTTTGGATTGGTTTGTGCACATGACTAATTTCTTCAACTGGTGACGAAAGTGTGTCATTAGCTTCAATAGTGATATTTTGAACCGTGTCTTTAACTTTAACGATTTCCTCTTGCTCTATTTCTTGTTTCTCATCTTGTTTAGCTTGTTCTTTAATCAATGGTTCAACTTTATCTGTGGCATCTATAACAAACACTTTAGGCGCATTTCCAGTCTCTTGATTGTCAATGTGGTTTATTGAAGCATCAATCGACTCAACTTCACTTTGAGTTTTTGATAAGATAGTATCCATGGTAGCATCACAAAGTTTTGTAGTCATATTTTCAATGGCTCCATTGGTTTTATAATCAGTAATAACTTCCTTAGAGACATGAGTCTCTTCACTTTGTTCTTCCTTCGCATTTTCAGAACTATTCTCAACGTGTTCATCACGTGACAAGTTGTCAGCTTCTTCAGTAGTGTTCTTTCCAACAAAATTGTCGCTAAGCACATGTTCATCCTTTCCAGTAACACTCTCTGGAGCTTCTTCTAAGTTTACTGGTATCTCTTCGTTGTGTGAGGTGACTGTAACATTATCTGTTATTGTTTCGACGGTAACATCACGTGGCTCATTTATTTCTTGATTCTTCATCGGCATTTTTTTTGACTGTACGATTAACTGATCCAGTTCCTCTTTGGTTACGTGAGTAGTATCTTGTTCTATGTTTTTTTCATTAGCTATATTATCATTATTGTCATTGCCATCTTCCAATTCATTATCACACTTTGCTGAAGTAGGAGATGGTGAAACCACTTCAACCTCGTGATTGTAATTCCCGCTAGAATCAGGATGGCTAGGTAAGTGATTATCCAAAACCCATTGCCCATCAACAACAAATTTATAGTAATAAGTTGTGTTTGGCTTTAAATCAAGAGTAACAACAAAATCGGATGAACCATCTGATTTGGTCATCGGAATTGGACTCCATGGTGTATAAGGGGAGTCAAAACTTCCGGCTACCTGCACGTTTGATCCCCATTGCGACCATTTAAACGTAACTGGTACAAAATTAGATTTATAGGTCTCGCGGGTAGAATCGGCGTCCGGCATTATGACGGAGGATCTAGCAAAAAAAAAAGCTTTTTTAAATTTGACTTATCATGAGAAAGCACCATTTAATTTGATCTTTACACATATTTATGAATTCTTTAATACCTTTAAATAAACCCTCCACTTAATATTTTAATTTAATAAAGTTATGTATCAAAAATAAAAAATTCTTCCCCTACGCAGGCAATAATATACCATACAATAATTATAATAATAATTTTGACTTGCGACACCCTCTATTTTGCAGAAGAAAAAAAGGAG